TAAAAGTAAGTGTGATGTGATTGCGCGCGTTTAAAAAGTGCGCCACTCCATCAGCCAGAAGAAGATGAAGATAACGCTTGGCTGCGGCACGTGTGGGCGTGAACATTTTTCTTCAATGAGGTCCTTCCACGGAGATTTCAATGCCCAATGGCTGCACTGCAATTACTCCTTATGTCCCTGATTTTGCTTCAAATATTATCTACGGCCACCTGCAAGTTATACATTTGGAGTATTTTGGAGAATGACTCCTGCACAAAGTCTGCAAGCTGCGGCAGGCATCATGAACCGACGCTGCACCGTCAAGTAACTAGGCAGTTTATTTTAAAACAGGACATACTCAGTGATTGACCACCTGTTTCGCGTTTTTGAGCCGTTCTTGCTGCAGGTTAAAAAAACGACTGGGGCGTATTATGAGCATTTGATAGTTTAAACTCGCAATTACTTACGATTTGCATCGATCATGTAGGCAAGACCGTCGGTAGCCTCGAAATTGCTCAATGAACAGTGACGTACGGCCGTACCTGCGATAGCGTAATACTGGCCGGATTAAAACTTGACATGCGTTTAACAGTCGTCACGAACATGCTGAAGGATCTACTGAAAAAGCGAGCCCTGATGCTCGCGACACTGCGGCAAACTACGTCTTGTGTGCAGTCTGTTTACGAAACTTGCCCGAGACTGTTTACTTAGGGTTTCAGTAGTTAGGAAACATCCCAAAAGCAATCCGATTCACAATTAAAACCAACACACCACACAGCTGCGATCAGTACACCCCCGCAGCTTTCCCGAAACTTTTTACTTAAAGTTTCAGTAGTTTGGAAACAACCCAAAACCAATCTGATTCACAGAACGCACCACACACACAGCTGCTATAAGTACCGGCGCTACCGGCAAGACCGCGGCGGCCTTGGAGGCTGGCGCGGCAACGGCAAAAAACAGCAAAAATGCTCACTGAACGCGGAAATGACGTTCGTGGTAGCCGCTGCCAATGAGCACCGTAGCAGACGACAATGATGTCTCCCTCTCTCACGCGCGTTCTCCCGCATACGGTTGTCAAACACGCCACCCGGAAACGCACGTCATAGCGCTACTGTGTGGGTGAACTACTAATTCTGCCTTGCGGTTACAATCTTCTTAAAAGCTACACTTAACTATCGAAATATTTTTTTTCTACTCACGTTCACGCTGGACACATGTGAACAAAGCTTTAAATAAAAAAAAACTTTCGCATGAACTCTAGAAAATCTCACAAGGAATATCCTTGCATCTCCATGCTCACTCAAAATCTGTTTCTAACGTCGCTCTTACTCGACAAAGGCTCCTAGGCATGTCGTTATGCAACCACCAAGCGCTTACCTTTAAATCCGAAAAATACAAAGCTTCAGAAGTGAACAAAACCTAGCACTTGTTACCTAAACGCTAGCTCGTAGCCGAAATACTTACAAAACACCTTCCCAAAGCAAGACCGAATGAACAGTCAAACAAAACTTCAGAAAAAAAATACACAAGTCCGCTAGTTATCATTTTCAAATGCATACGGCTTTTACTCATTTTTTAAACGAACACGTCCTGGTCGCACCCTGTGGGTCTTTCTTGACGAACGGGAATGCTACAATAGAAAAACCCATTTGCTTCACCTCCAAGCACCGCTAAGCTCCTCGCTGGCGACCTGCGTTGTTCCCTCTCTCGGCTATTCCCTGCGAGCCGCCGACCTTGCTCTCCCATGCCCCATCGAACGTGCCGTTGGATAGAATGGTGGGAGGCTAGATGACCACTTCCTTTTGTCTGAATGCTTAATCGCCCAATGCACTTTTCCCTTCCTTTCTGTTGGGTGGCTCGGGCACATGCAAAGCCACTTTGGTGCGGATGACAAACATCTCGTTCTATTACCTGCCCTCGAACGTTTACTATTTTGCTTCAAGCAGGCTGGGCTCTGTCGCACTCCCTGCCTTTACGATGCTGCTTCCGTCTACGCTTCTTCTTAGAGCCCATTTTTGGCCCTTTAACTCGCATCTCTTGCTCACGAGCACTCTGACTGGTTTCGTTAGCTGTCTTGCCCGCGCGGCATACCAACTCTACCACGAGGGGGGGGGGGATATATATATAGAATCTAACAGACAGTATAGCCAAGAAATGTACAGGGGAAGTTACTAGAACCAGAGTCCTTCAATACTTTTCTGGTCACGAAACTTCTCCGTAACGCTATGGGAGAGCTTCATATGGGGATCAAAGCTCCCGCGCGGTGGCGCTACGAGTCTGGTGAAGGCGGCTTGGACGGCGGCGGCCGCATTTGCAGCGTTTGCAGTGCGTTGGAGCGCGAGCTTACTGGTTTGTTTGTTGTGTGGTATAGCTGTCTACACTCATCACGGACGGCAAACTATGTGAACTACCATGCCTCTGACGTGCTGCGTACCTGGTTGCCGCTCTGGCTATCGGAGTTGTACAGAAAAAGCTTCGCTGTTCTGCCTCCCAAGCGACCGCGAACAACGCGACAGGTGGAAGCGAGCCATTCCACGACAGGAGACGGGCGCTTTCAACTTCGAGTCGAAGGCCGTTCGTGTGTGCGAGAAACATTTCGACACCACGGACATTGTTCGAGCCGATGAGTTCAGAATAAGTGGACAATCTTAGCTTCTGCAGCGCGAGAAGCCTAAGCTCCGCGTCGGTGGCATACCCCGGATATTTGAAAACCTGCCGGCGTATCTTACGAAGCCCAAGCCACGGTCGCACTCACAGCGAGAAAATCCGCCTGCAAAACGTCGTCGCGTTTCGTCGCCGAACAACGATGGCACTGCAGCTGCTGTGAGCTCCAGCACAGAGCCCTGCGATCCTGAAGCAGCCGGAGATGATGGTAAGCCTCCATTCGCGTTGCCTTGTTTTCTTGTTTCACTATGTTGAGAGCCTGTATTGCCTGTGTGCTGCGTGATGTCGCATTATATTGATCCATATTTCTTCGTTTGACAGGTGGAGTGATAAGCACTAGAAGCTGAACAGAGATGGCATGCCAGACAGAGGGAAATGTCTGCTCCATCTCAGAGCTCCACGCAGTTAAAGACCAGCTTCGAAGTACTAAGCAGCAACTTCGTTTGTGCCAAGTGAAGATTGCGAAATTGACAGTGGAAGCGAATAGGAGCAGAAGATCACACCAAGACGTTCAGAAGCTTTCGGCTCGTCGCGAGAAGCTCATTTTTGACCTCTGGCTCATGAAAGCCAACGCGAAGTCTGCAACAGCTGCGCGGTAAGTTCCAAATACCCCATCACACACGTAACATTGCTATTGGATTGCCCCTTTTGCGTTTGAAAATGTTATCTCAAGGTGTAGCCTTCATTTATTCATCATGTATTTGTATCTGTTGGACCGCAAAACAATATGCTATTGAGGCACACATTGGTTTGGCTGTTTTGTGTAGTGTTATTTCTAATTTCGGGAAAAATTGCAGGTTTGTTTGGGCAAATATACTTTCTTCAGTTTTTATAACACCATTCTCATTATTTTTTGCTTTGCATGAATAGTTTCCAACACGCTCATTGTGGAAAACAAATTTGCAATTCATTCTCTCCAGGTACAAAAAAGAGTGGATTTATGACTGCTTGCTGCTAAAGATAAAGTCCACAGCAGTCTACACTTTTCTTCATGAAAATGAATTTTTGCCCCTTCCAAATCCCCGCACCCTCTATGGCTACCTCAGAAATCTGAAAGCTGATTTTGGCTTCGACAGCACTTTGTTCACGGTTCTGTGTGAAAAGCTAGAAGCAGTTCCAGAAAGAGAGCGTCGAGGTAAGAAGCAGTACTCATTTTTAAAATTGTATTATATTCAGCAGCGCAATTGAGACAAGATGTTAACCTACCCAAAACTTTCCAGGAGTGCTCATGTTCGATGAAATGAGCGTCAGAAAAAGCGTCCACATTCGCGAGTCGGACATGGCACTGCTGGGCAAGGTGGATTTCGCCGAACACACATGACTAGGTGACCATGGCAAAGACGGCGACCACGTGCTGGTCTTTCTGTTTCTGCCTTTTCTGGGAGGGTGGTCACAAACTGTGGGCACACTTTGTGCTTCTGGTGCTGCCCCAGGATCAATCGTGGCGAAGCTCCTTTTGCAGTGCATTGTTCACCTTACAAACGCTGGTGTTGTTGTTGACGCAGTGACCTGCGACAACTCCACATCAAACCAATCAGCCTTGAGATCTCTGGGTACGTCTTTTCAAATTTTATTTAGCTGTGGTTAGTGATGTAGTAGAAAAACAAGTGTACTATTAAACTGTTTTTCTCTCAAGGTGTCAACGGGGACATGCACAAGCTTCAAACGTGTTTTGAACACCCGTGTGAGCCCTCAAAGCAAGTCCACGTTGTAATTGATCCACCGCACATATTTAAGTGCATCAGAAACAACTTGCTCAAAGTGGGCAAGTTTTTGGTAAGTAAAAAAAGTTGCATGTGAATGCCTTGACCTGTGCATAAACTATTCAGTTTAAAAAGAAATTTGTCACTTGTCCTTATGTTGCAGCTCCCTCAAGGACAGGAGGTGTTCCACTGTCACTACAAGGACTTACTGGACTATGAAGAAGAACAGGCTGGGCTCCGGGCTGTACCGAAGTTAACGAAAGCCCATATTTTCCCCAATGCGTTCCAAAAGATGAGCGTGAAGTTGGCTGTCCAGGCAAGTCATGCACGAAGCTATGTTCAGTGCAAAGTGTATTTCAAAAACATCTGCTCACACGTTTTGGGAAGTAAACTTAAAATCCTTTTTTCCACACATTTTACAGCTGTTCAGTGAGAGTACTGCTTCGGCCATGGAGTTTTATAGCGAGCAGGAAGACTGCAAGAAGCTCCATGGGTCGGCTGCAACATCGCAATTCACAAGAACATTGAACAAGCTGTTCGACTGTCTGAACTCTCGGAGGCCAGACCATGTTCGATTCAACGAAGCACAACACATTGCTGTGAGATTATTACATGTGTTATGAAGTGTTTTTCATGTACTATAGATGAAGCAAATTTTATTCCAGGTGTTGAAGGACAGCATTGCATGGCTGGACAACTGGGAGAAATACATCAAGACATTACCGACCCAGAGGCAAGTCTGCTTTCTGAGTAAGCAGACATGTGGAGCCCTCAGACTGACACTGCATAGCTCAGTTGCACTCATCGAGAGCTTGCTGTTGTCTGGGTTTCGTTACGTTCTCGTTGGGAACTTCGGACAAGATCCTCTAGAGGCAAACATGATGACTTTTATGTGTATAAATGTGCTATGAATTTCTCACTGTTGCGATAAATTGATTTTTTCTTTCTAGAGGTTTTTCGGCATCGTCAGGCATGTTGCTGGTGACGGAGGGCAGCCGACTGTGCAACATTTGTGTTCATCTATCGGATGCTCTCTGTAAACAACCTAGTTCGGCCGCCAAAATGGGCCTCGGTCGAGGGAGATGGACCCCAGCTGTTGCTCAAGCTCCAGGGCCTCTTTGACAAGGGAAAACCTGCCTCCAGTCAGGTAACGTGCCCCTTGCTTTTATTTATTAGCTCTAGTTTCTTTTTTTCAGGAGCAGTTTCACTACACAAATGACCAAATAACCAAATGAAACATAATGTGTTTTTGCATTTACGAATCTCAACTTATACATTGAAAGATTTGAAACTTGGAATGTATTTTGCAGATTGACATGTTGGCGGTCCTCTTTGATGACGTTCTTGAGGAGCCGGGAGAGGCAGTGAACAATGCATCCGTGCCTGACGTTACGCTCTCCACCAAAGAGTGCATTCTTGATTATCTTGCCGGTTACGTGGTAAAGAAGTTTTCAACGATAAGCTGCACTGACTGCGTGGGAACACTCAAGAGCCAGACACGAGAGCCAACTGACCTAATCCAGAAGAAGTCAAGAGGATTCCTGCAAGTGCCCTCATCCCAGCTTCTCAGCCTGTTGCGCATTGTGGAAGGACATGTTGAAGAACTGACTGTGGACACAGTTGCATGTGCCGATGTGTATGCGAACATTGTTGACCAAGTTTTGCTCGACAGCCGCATTGCTTCTGCTGGTGTGGGCTGTAGGTTGCACTATGTGGGTACCACAGCAGAGGTTGTTCATTTTTTCTTGAGGTGCCGCCTGCACTTTTACACCAGGGAAAAAAACAAGCTGACACGAGCGACGCGGCGAGCAAACTGCCCAGCAAATGGTGGCAACAAGCCCCATGGGTAGCAGATGTTCTGTTTGTCATGCTATGTAAAGCCCAACTGTTGTGTTTTGTGTTTGCTAGTGACAAAAAACACTTGCACATTTGTGTTCCTAGTTGCTTGTGTGACGTTGTTTATTTCCTTATCCGCCATGCTATTGCCGTAGACTTGTATGAATAAACACTTGCACCACAGCCGCGGCGCGTTTTCTAGTCATTTGCATGCGCTTGGCAGCTGCCTGCGACGATCAGCAAGTGGCCAGTCAGGTTACTGTCATCTGTGTGGCGGAACCAAAATCCACGGCGGCGACATTTTGATTATCCAATCAGGTATTTTGAATTTGCAAAGCGGAGCATGGCTAGCTTTGCCTGTATTTCTTTTTTAATTTTTTTAGTGTCCCCGCCGCGGTGGCTCAGGGGCTAGGGCGCTGTGCTGATGATGATGAGCCCAAGGACGCGGGTTCCCAGCCGCTTTTCTGATGGAGGCGAAAAGAGAAAATGCCTGTGTTTTAGAGATTCCCGCGCATGTTAAAGATACCTGGGTGGTTAAAATTATTCCGGAGAGCTACACCAGAGTCCTTCAATGCTTGAAGGACTCTGGCTACACTACGGCGCGCGCCCGATTGCCTGCATAGCGTCAGCGCGTTAAACCTCATAACCAAGTAATCAATTAACTTGTCGTTTTGGTGGGACGAGTGTGTCAGACACTGACCATACGAGTTTTTCTGTTGACACCCTATACCTATGTTGACAGCCGGGAAAGTCGCTCAAGTGTGTAGCATTTACTCCTACGCGCGCTCATTATGCTGCTTCCATTTCGTGAGCGTTTTTCTTCATCATGTTGATGCTCACTTTCCAAACCTAGGTTATTTTTGTACATTATTAGCGCGCTATAAAATCGCGCAGACACAGCGCTAACCCAACGTGCTGTACGTTTGCACACCTATTTGCTAAGCGCAGCATGTCGCCCAGGGCTGTATATACCGATTTAAATCTGGTGCTAGTTAACTCAAATGCAGGAAACTGCAAAGACTACTCAAAAATCGAAAACGCCAGATGTCCTCCTTCTCAAAGCGAGAACGTAGCGGCCGTGACTACCGCAACGAACGAACGCTGCAACATATACGACTCAGTAACACGCGTGGCCTTGCCTCTATTTCACAGCTAAGCTAAGCGTCAACTGAATCAAAAACACGCACACTTCGCTCGCGTCGCTCGCGTTTTTACAGGTCGCGTTTTTACAGGTGGAAATGAAGAGCAGATGAAATTAGGCGCATTGCCGACGGAGAAACAGCCGGCCCGCAAGCGTCGCCGGCCGCCGGCGAAGCATTCACGCTAACAGGGGCGATCCTAGCGGCAGCTTTTGTCCCTGAATTAATCTTCGGCGGAGTTTCGTGACCAGAAAAGCATTGAGGACTCTGCTAGAACCAAGAAAGAAAAGTGGATCAAAAAATTACCAGCCGTGAGCTGAAATCGAACCTACGACCTTCGAATAACACGTTCGATGCTCTAACCACTGAGATACCCCAGCGGTCTTCCCTACATCCACTTTTTTGGGTTTATATGTGAACTTAGAAGTACGAGTGACAGTCAGCGCCATCTATAAGCCAAACGACGAGTGTGAAAACACTCTTATGCGCATGTTTGGCGTCACGTAGCACGTGAACTTATGACCGCGCAGCTGATTAATTGTCCCCTTATACAACCTAAACATACCAAGTCTGCCAGTACGAGACCCTCGTTCAATGAAATAAGGGAAAGAACTATATACCTGAGGGCTCGTTTTTCCCTGTTTTAACACAATATAGAGATCTAACAGACAGTAATGCCAAGAAATGTACAGAGAAGTTATTAGAACCAATGGAATGTAAATAAGTGGAATTTAATAAGCTCAGTGTTTAGAGTATCAAACGCGTTATTCGAAGTCGAAGGTTCGATTCCTGCTTACGGCTGGTTATTTTTTCATCCACATTTCTTTCTTACTTACATTCCATTGGTTCTAATAACTTCCCTTGTACATTCCTTGACATTACTGTCTGTTAGATCTCATTAATATTGTGTTAAAACATGGAAAAACGAGCCCTTATGTATATACTTCTTTCCCTTATTTTATTCAACGAAGGTCTCGTACTGGCAGACTTGGTGTGTTTAGGTTGTATAAAAGCGACAATTAATCAGCTGCCCACTCATAATAAGTTCACGTGCTACGTGACGCCAAACATGCGCATAAGAGTGTTTTCACATTCGTCGTTTGGCTTATAGATGGCGCTGACTGTCACTCGTACTTCTAAATTCACATATAAACCCAAAAAAGTGGATGGAGGGAAAGCCGCTATGGTAGCTCAGTGGTTAGAGCATCGAACACGTTATTCGGAGGTCGTAGGTTTGATTCTTGCTCACGGCTGCTTATTTTTCCATCCACTTTTCTTTCTTATTTACATTCCACTGGTTTTAATACCTTCCCCTGTACATTCCTTCACGTTATTGTCTGTTAGATCTCATTAATATTGTGTTAAAACAAGGAAAAACAAGCCGCCCTTAGGTATATACTTCTTTTCCTTATATTATATTTATATATATATATATATATATATATATATATATATATATATATATATAGAGACAACTTTTTTCATGTGATTGTGATTTTTTTAAAGCACTTGTTCAATAGCGTAAAAAAGACAGTCATCTTTCAGCAGCATGCACTGTGAAAGCACGTATATGTTTGTCATGCATGATACATGTAATGATATTACACACGACGACTTTTATGCATTACCTCAAAACTTTCCGCATGAATACAATTATGTGGCTGGTGGCCTCGTCAACAGGAAATGTTTTATCATTTAATGAAATTTTACTCCTTGAAACACCTCACAAAGATTTCAGGTTTAAATGTGAAGCACTCCTTGAGGAACCAAGGTATTTTGAGCATTTCTACCTACTTAATTTAGTTTTCCACTGAACTCAAGTTCACTGCTTTATTCGTCACCGCTTTGCAAGCTGCCCCCATCAATCCAAGTTGCCATAAGCAAGGCTGATCATATTTATTGGAGATTAAAGCGGAAACCTTTCTTGGCGTTTCCAGTACGGCAAAACTAATGTAAAAAGTCGCAATGGTGTGCTCACAGCAGCTTTGACAGAGCAGCGGGGATAGTAATCTTTTTTGAAGAAAGAAAATGATTTTCCAGAAGCAGCAAATGCTTTGAGTGGTCTATAAAATGTTTGTTCGTTCCCATCTATAACTGCTTCGGCTAGTCGTAGAAGAATAAAAACATGAACAAGTGATGTAATATATAAGGCCCTTGCTTAGCGCTAGCCTGCTCTGCAGTGCTACTGCACAGGACGGAGAGCGTCGCAAAGAGCCTTCAAGGAGAATCGTCACTGATGAAGTATTAGAAAGAATCACT